CGCTTATGGCACGCTATCCCCCGCCCTGTGGCCAGGCTGCGCCGAGGAAGGCCTGGCAGGGGGGCAACGTGCACCGACGAGGCCCTCGCAGGGGCACCGCGTGCGCAGCAGGGGCCCTTTGCGGGGGAATGGCCTCGCATCGCAGAAGAAGCAGAGGCATAAGCGGAAACTTTTGGCGCCCCGCGCGGATTTCTTGGGTCCGCGCTGGGCCCCCCCCGGCGGCGCCTCCGGCGCCGCTCCCCGCGCCAGGGAGGGGGTGCCAGCGCAGGCCCAAGGAATCCGCGCGAGGAGCGTCGCAAGCTCATGCTCATATGCCGTTTTTGTTTTTAAATGGTTTTTCTGTCGCAGGGATGGCGCGCTACTTCGGAGAGCGGTGCTGCACGACACCTCGGCGACGCCAGGCGTGCCACCTCGAGGCTCCGGGCGCGGAGTCGGCTCCTGCCCGCTCCTGCCTCCGAGGGGCTTGCTCCCAGGGCCCCCTCGGGGGGTGGAGAACGGCCCGGGGAGAGGAAAAAGCTGCCCAGAGTGGGCCGCGGGAGGGGTTCGAGGACGGAGTCTGAGCGGATGCCGCCGCTCCTCCTCCCTTCTGCTCCTCTTCCTCCTCCTGCTCTTCCTCCTCCGCTTCCCTCCTCCTCCTCCTCCTCCTCCTCCTCCTCCTCCTCCTCCTCCGCTTCCCTCCTCCTCCCTCCTCCTCCTCCCTCCTGCTCCTCCTCCTCCTCCTGTTCCCTCATCCCCCATCCTCCCTCGTCCTCCTGCTCCCTAGCCTCATCATCCCTCTCCTCCCCCCCCCGTCCTCGTCCACCTTCCTCTCCCTCCTTCTCCGTCCTTTGCCCTTGGAGAAGTCATCCCTGTCGCACCCCGACGCGTGTTTGGGCCGGGCGTTTCGCTTGCGACTTCCTCACCATGGGCCATCTACGATTCTTAAGCCTAGAGTTTGCAGCTGTTTCGCGGGTGGAGGGCGGGTCGTTTTCAGATGTGTTTCTCGCCGGAGCGCCGCGCACATTCGCTCCAAATGTTCGCAGGAGTCTCTCACAGATGCAAAGCAGCACCTTTTCAAAATGTGGTTGGCGCCTTTTCTCCGCGCGCGTTTGTCTTTAGAGTTCACAGCAGCTTCAGGGGTTCTTATGGGTGACGTCCCCGCAATCGTGTTTTGGCACGACGTCGGATTGCCAGGGTGCAACAGTCACGTTGATTCGCGGTGTTGAAGTCACGTGAGTGGTAAGGTGGCACGATTCTGGATCATGAGGACGCAACAGGAACGTTTATTCGCGGCGCTGATTTCCGAGGAATGGTGTTCGGGCATTGTTTATGTTTTGCAGACGGTTGCCATCCAAGCGGCCATTTCGATCCTTGAAACGAACCGTTGCGCGGACTTGTGAAGAGGGAGCTTGGAGGGAGGGTATGTTGCAACATCTTTGATGAGTCCTGGGCTTACACTGGTCCTCTCTCCTCGCACGACGACGACGACGACGACGACCCGATCTTTTCGCGGAGTGGGCTCCGCTCGAGTTTTTTCTTGGATGGGGGCCCCGAGCCGAGAGTCCATGTGCCCGAGACGTATGTAGTTCGACTTTGGCTGCACCAATTTCGGGCCGAACGAAGGGGGGGATAGGGAAAGGGGGGGGTACGAAATCTGCTGCATGCAGCTGGTTTCGGCCCCGCCGCCGGGCCCATTCCTCGATACATGGGCGCCTCCCGGCGCCGGGGCAATCGGCTACGTGAGCTGATTCTCAGGCCCCCCTTTGCTATCCCCCCTTTCGCCCGGCCCGACAGTTCCGAGGAGCACAAACCGCACACACCATGTCAGCTGCCGGAGGTCCGCGCGGACTCCGTGCTCCTGGTGCCACCCTTGGCGCCCTCCGCGCGCAGAGCGATGGGGAGGGGGGGCCAGCGCCGACCCATGAACACCGCGCGGGCCCTGAGAAGCTCAGGGTCATCCAGTTTTGTTTGAGGGGGAGAGGGAGGAGGAGGAGGAGGAGGAGGAGGAGGAGGAGGAGGAGGAGGAGGAGGAGGAGGAGGAGGAGGGAGGAGGAGGATGTGGGATTGTTTAGGCCTGCATCTTCTGAGCGCGTTCTCCTCTCCCCCCCCCGCCGCGCCCCCATCCACGTCCCGCCGCGCCCGCTTCGGTGCTTCAAGTCGCCTCAGAGCGCGCCTCCGTCGCTCGAGCGCTGCTTGGCCGAGCCCCTCGCCGATCCCACACTCATGATGCAGTTTCTCGCTGCTAACTTCTCCTCCTCCTCCTCCTCCTCCTCTCCTCCTCCTCATCCCCCTCCCCCCTCCTCCTTCCCCTCCTTCCCTCCTCCTCCCCTCCTCCTGCCTCTCCTCCTCCTCCTCCCTCCTCATCCTCCTCCTCCCTCCTCCTCCTCCTCGTCCTCCTCCTCCTCCTCCTCCCTCCTCCTCTCCTCCTGCCACTCTGGATGTGGCCTTGGTGAGGGCGTCTCGGGTTTCTGAACGTTCCCGTCGTTTTTGTGTTGTCTTGAGACCGATCGTTTTGAAAGGCTTCGCTGAACATCGTTGCCCACAGCCGCGGTGGTTTGCCCAATACCATCCTTTGATCTCCCTCCTTCAACCTCGGTGCCCCACCCTTTTTTCCGTTATCCCTCTATCTCTCTGTCTCTGTCTCTTCTCTCTCTCTCTCTCTGTCTCTCTCTCTCTCTCTCGTCCTCCTCCTTCTCCCGTTCCTCCTCCTCCTGGGGGCTTAGAAAACTTGGCCAGGCGTTGGTTTTTCTGGTTTTTCTGGTCTGGAGCTCAGACAACATGGCCAAAGAAAACTGGCCAGGCGTTTGGGTTTTTTTCTGGTTTTTCTGGTATGGGAGCTCAAGAAAACCTGGCCCAGGCGTTGGTTTTTCTGGTTTTTATTGTCTGGGTGCTCAGAAAACCTGGCCAGGCGTTGGTTTTTCTGGTTTTTCTGGTCTGGGAGCTCAGACAACATGGCCAGGCGTTGGTTTTTCTGGTTTTTCTAGTTTGGGAGCTCAGAAAACCTGGCCAGGCGTTGGTTTTTCTGGTTTTTCTGGTCTGGGAGCTCAGAAAACCTGGCCAGGCGTTGGTTTTTCTGGTTTTTCTTGTCTGGGGGCTCAGAAAACCTGGCCAGGCGTTGTTTTTTTTGTTTTTCTGGTCAGGGAGCCCACAAAACCTGGCCTGGAGGTTGGGGGCTTGCGAACTACTGCCGTCAGACCAGAAAAACCAGAAAACCAACGCCTGGCCAGGTTTTCTGAGCCCTCAGACCAGACAAAGCAGAAACAAACAACGCCTGGCCAGGTTTTGTGGGCTCCCAGACCAGAACAACCAACACAAAAAAAAAAAAACGACGCCTGGCCAGGTTCTGTGAGCTCCCAGACCAGAAAAAAACACGCCTGGCCAGGTTAGCGGGAGCTTGCAGGCGAGGGCGGGGCGAGGACAATCCTGGCGAGGAAGGGGCGAGGAAGCGGCGAGGAGAGACAGTCAACTCGAAGGTTCATCTCAGAACCCGCCAAAAGGTATATCTTCGGGGGGTGCGACCATGTAGTTCACACCGTGCCCTGTTCCAGTCATCCCTCCTCCTCCTCCCTTCTTCCTCGTTATCTTCCTTCCCCTCCGTTGCCCCCCTTCCTCATTTGTCCCACTTGCGTCGTGTGCCCGTGGTGAATGTGAAGCACAGATGAAGCGCAGCTATTGCACGGAGTATTTTAAGTTACCACCGCCCCCAAACTACAGTTGACGGGAGAGAAGGCGGAGCGTAACGCTCCAGATAACATAGGGGCGAAATGCTCCAGCCAGGTGCGGGGCGAAATGCTCCAGGGGGCGGAATGCTCCACATCACGTAAGGGCGAAATGCTCCAGCCAGATACGGGGCGAAATGCTCCAAGGGGCGTAATGCTCCAGATCACGTAGGGGCGAAATGCTCCAGATCACGCGGGGGCGAGATGCTCCAGCCAGATACGGGGCGAAATGCTCCAGGGGGGCGTAAAGCTCACACCAGTCGGAAGCGAAACAATCCCAGGCAAACAACAGACGAAATGCTCCAGAGGAGCGCAGCACGACTGTTTGATCCTTATCCTGGTCCTCCTCCGCTTCCGCGGTTCGTCCCTCTGCCCTGCTCCGCCCCCTCTTCTTGCCTTCCTATCTCCTTCGCTCCCGCCTTCCCGCCCCTCCTTCCTCATCCACACCAACTCCGTTTTTTGTGTTGCAACCTATTCTGGCCCGAGCCTGCCTCGACGCAGAACTCGCGGCGCAGCTTCCACGCACCCACAGGGCAGCAATGCCGATCATGCTCCGCCTCGCCCCCTGGCACGCCGCCAAGGCGCAGCACCCCTTCCTCGACAAGCCCAACGCCGACATGACGGCGGCGGCGGCTCAGTGGGGGGTGGTGTGCGACGGAGTAAGCGGCGTCGCGCCCCGCTTCAACCCGGAGGACCTCTCCTGGGACCTCCGGAACTGCCTCCGCTTCCTGCTCCGCGCGCGGTTCCACTGGGCCTGCGACAAGCAAGAGTTCGACTCCCAGGTGGTCCGCGAGATCGGCGGGGACGTGCGGAGCATGGCCACGGACGCCCCTGCGTCGTGGGCAGCGAGGCTCCTGTAAACAAAAACAACAGCACACACGCACACACCAAAAACTAAACAACGAAAACAACAACACACGCACACACCAAACAGCAGAGGTACAGGATCAAGGGGTCGCAGAAGACGATGAGCGGGGGGACAATCAAGTTCGACGGCAAGAGGTTGGTGCCACCTGGCCCGCCAGCTCTGTCCATCCCAGACGGGAAGAAGTTCTTGACTAAGCACTTCAAGTCTGGCATTCTTTCCAGCGACTCCGCTGCTGCGTACGATTCCCTTGTCAACAAGAGGAAGATCTTCGGCAATCGAGCGAAGCAGATCGCCGTCGTTCATGGGAAGGAAGAGTGGACGAAGATGTTCAATATCGACGGGAAGAAGGTATGGGGAGGGACGCAATACATGGACGGCTTCTTCGGCAACTACAAGCAATGGGCGAACCTCGACACGTTCGTCGATCTGATGTGATGCAGTACGTTCGTGAGTACCAGTACTGGTTCGTGACCAAGAAGGAGGACCGCCTGGTGGCGTTCGGGAAGGCTTGCAAGGATTACGCCTGAGTCTGAGGCGTTTGGGGGTAGCTTCCAGAGCAGCGTTGCAGCGACGCTCTGGGAGTAGTTCGCTAGAACCACTGCGTGCTTTCTGATTAGTCTGGGTAAAGAGCGATCGCCCGCTCACGGCGGGGGCAGAACATTAGCGAAACATTGAGCCAAAAAGGATGAGACTAACCAAATAAACAAACAAACATATATATATATATATATATATACCGTTGAAAAGAAATGGGCGACACAATAAAGAAAACACACTTAACACGTGATGTATGCAAAGATACGCGGCTGAATTAGAAAAGCCGTCGGGAACGTCCAGAAACCGAGACGGCGTGAGGAGGGGCCCTCGCCCTCGCTCGGGCCCCCCGCGGCCGGCCGCGTCGTTTGGGGGCGCCCGCGGCCCGCCCTCGTCGCGGACAGGAGCCGCGAGGCCGGCAGTCGGGGGCGGCCTTCACCGACCCCCTCTCCGAGTCATCCCCCCTTCGGCGCCGTGCCCCTCGCCTCCTCCTCCTCCTCCTCATCCTCCTCCTCCTCCTCGTCCTCCTCCCTCCTCCCTCCTCCCTCCTCCTCCTCCTCTCCGAATCATCCCCCCAGGGCGCAGGCGTGGGGCCGGAAGGGAGCTCGACAGACGGGGGTGGCTTCACGGGTCGGGGCGAGCCGGCCCGATGGAGCCGTGGAGGCGGATCGGGCCCTGGTGGCGAGGGGCCCCCGGGAGGTCCAGGTATCCCCAGATGTCAGCAGTCGCGCCGCCGCCGTCGTCGAGGTCGTCGATTTTGGCCGCCGCCGTCGTCGTCGTCGTCGTCGTCGTCGTCGTCGTCGTCGTCGTCGTCGTCGTCGTACGGAAAGAAGGGGCACAACGACCGACAGCAGTTTCTGTTCACTTTGAACGGGGCGCGCTGTCCGTGCCGCCGCGGGCGTCGCTCGTTGAAGACAAATTGCCTGCCCAGCAGCGGCCCCTGTCGGTTTTGGATGCCTTTCGGTGTTGGGCATTGTGCCCATTTCTCCGTACCGATTTCGGGCGCCCAGAACGGATGGGGTGGCTTGCAAGGGGCCGGTACGGCCGTGCCCAAGGGAAAAAGGCCCGTGGGAACAATCTTTTTGGTCTGCGGGTCGAGAGCGAGCCTCTTCCGGTTACGAGCTAAGCGGGCCGCGCAGAGCACTAATTGGGGAGACCCGTGGGAACAGACGAGAGGCCGTCCGAAAGCGGCGCGAGAGGCGGGTCCGCAGAGCGCGCCCCGCCCTGCCAGGTCCAGGAGCCACTGGAGGCGAGCAGAGTCGGCGGGTCCCACGAGCGGGACCCACGCCACCTCCTCGCGCCTCGAGATGCCTCTCAACACGGTCAGGGCATTTTGTTGTTCCTCCTCCTCCTTCTCCTCCTTCTCATCCTCCTCCTCCTGCTCCTCCTCCTCCTTCTCCTCCTCCTCCTCCTCCTGCTCCCCCCCCTTCTCCTCCTCCTCCCCCTTCCCCTCCTCCTCCTCCTCCTCCTCCTCCTCCCTCCTCCTCCTCCTCCTGCTCCTCCTCCACCTCGTGCTCCTCCTCCTCCTGCTCCTGCTCCTCCTCCTGCACCTGATCTTCCTCCTCCTCCTCCTCCTCCTCCTCCTCCTCCTCCTCCTCCTCCTCCTCCTCCTCCCCCTCTCTCTCGTGTGCTAGTTTCGTGTTGTTCCCGCTCCGCGCTCAACTCTCCATTGATAGCGAAAACTGACAGCGCAAAACTAGCAGCCTGACCGTCTTGACAGGCATCAGGGCTCGTGCCCCCGCGCCCCCGCGCCCCCCCATCCGATGGACTGGATGTTGCCGAGTGCGCGTGCAACCGATATGCTTTTCCTTGATCCAGCTCTGGTATACAGTTCGCAGTGTGCTGCTCGCACGTCCCTCGGCGGGCCCTCGGAGACAAATCGCTGCGGGGGTGGGGGAGCCCTGTTTACAATCCCGCTCGTCCTGCTGTCCCCAGTGTTTCAGCATCGTGTGAAGATCCTGATGGATTGGTTTTGCCGAGTCCGCGGGCCACAGAGGTGTCGATACTCTCGCAGGTGTTGTTGCTTGTGCGACGGATCTATGTTTCGCTTGCTCAGGGGACCGAGTGTGGCCCCGAGAGGCCAAACACGAGGAAGAGCATGGGCTGGTGAGGAATCAATCAATCCGCACGCGATTGGTGGTTTCTCATCTCCGAAGTTCACGTAAGTACAAGCCATACGCCATGCGGCGCGTAGGGGAAATTGGTTATAAAGTTGGAGCGCGGCGCGCCAAACGCGCGCAGGATATGAGAAAGCATACCAAACACATGCATGGCGCAACAGACAAGCCAAACACGTGCCGGAGGAAGGAGGGGAGGGCGAGGGGGAACGATGGATGAAGTGAAAACGATTTTTGACATGGAGTGTCCATGCGTTCCCGCTATAGCAAATCGTCCTCGCCAGTGCCGAAAGCGAACTCAGCACATAACTCTCGCCACTTTATCTGATCCCGCGCGGCCTCGTACAGGCGTTGATCAGCGGAGAACCGACACCGAATTTTACGATATAGTTCCTTTGTCCACTCATGTCTGGGTCTCCCGACTGGTCGTTTACATGATTCGGTCGCCGGTCGTGGGCTGCTCGGCTGAAATGTGAGTTGTCGCAAAGCATCTGTGTCATGTGATCGGCAATTTTTCCCGAACAGTACCAATTGCTGTCGTAATAGCTGTGACGAATACGATTTGTGACCAGATTGTTGAAAAACACTTTTGTTTGATACTCTAGATATGTAAGGGTGCGCAATGCCCAGAATAAGCCTCAAGCAGCGAGCTTGGAACCCATCTATCCTTCTCCTCTCTGCTTTGTTAAGCCACGCCGAACTTAACGAATACAGTACTTTGCTTGTAATGAGAGCAGAGAATACTTCCAACTTGCGTTTGCTCACCGCAGTGTGTTTCCACGCATGCGCGTATCTTTGAAACTCCCCCCATGCTGCGCCCAATCTCCGCCCCAACTCTGGTTTGATGTCCCCGCTGTCGTACAGAATGGCCCCCAAACATTGGATTTGCGGCGTAGGCGAGATGATTTTCCCAGCGGGGTCTGTGATTTGCAATAATTGAAACTTATCCCAGTAGAGCTCCATTCCCATATTTGCGCCTGCCCCGGCAATTGCGTTCAGAAGTTGTTGTAAATTGTGTTCGTTGCGTCCAATCAGCACTGTATCGTCTGCATATAAAAAGAATTGACATATCCCCACAATCCATTGAGCGTCGAAAATCGGTGTCCAGATCATTTTCCACGTCTTTGACAAAAAGACCGACATAACCATTACGAACAAAAACAGCGACAATGGGCACCCTTGTGAACTCCCTGACTTCTGCTCCCTGTCTCCTGACCTCCGGCCCCCATCTGCGACGCAGAAGTGGCGAGAGCCGTATATTTTGCCAATGAGCTGCAGCATGTGCGGCGGCACGCCGAAAGTCGTGAGTGCATCGAGGAGGGCGTCCAAGTTTAATTATCGAATCGAACGCTTTTTTCCAGTCCAAAGCCAATAATGCAACTTTGCCCCCGCGTGTGGCGCGCGCCAGCTCAACATGCCTGCGCGCTGCTTGGATGGCGTCGGTCGTGCCGCGTTTCCGCCTGAATCCGTATTGTGTCCCAGTTAGCCTGTCTTCGGCCCCTGCTTCTTGGAGCCTCATCAGTAACAAGCTTGCGAACAACTTGTACATCACGCCTGAAAGGCTGATCGGGCGATAACTGTCGCACTGGTCCACGGGGCCTTTGTTCTTGTATATGGTCGCCACCACTGCGTGTCGTGCCAGCATTGATTTATCAGCTTCGTAATCGTCTCCAGCCCTTTGGGGTCATCCCCGAGGGTCTTCCAATATTCCGGCGAAATGTCATCTGGTCCAGGTGCTTTCCCTTTCTTTAAACTAGAAGTCGCCTTTCGCACCTCTTGCATTGAGAAATCGCCATCTGAAATAAGCAATGGTGGTCCAAGTGGCTCACGCGGTATGAGCGTCGCAGGTCGCACTTTCCATTGCACTTTTTCGAAGTACTCCGCCATTGTGTCTGCTTTCTCTGTGCTTTCAGCAAGTTCGCCATCCAGATTTCTGATCCTTCCCTGCCTGCGCGGCTTCGGCCGGCAAACTCGCTTAAGTGAGGCCCAGCACCCATCAGCGATTTGCTGGTCCATCCAAGTTGTTTTATCTTGCTTAATTGATTTCCTTACTTGTTTGAGTAGCGACCTTTCTGCCATCGGATTTTGAGAGGATCGTGCCAAACTCCTTTGATCTGTCAGATCTAATGTCTTCTGAGAAACCCATGGCTGCTGTGTTTTGCGGCCCTTACGGGGCAGAACATGTTCAGCCTCAGCGATCACACGTTTCATGTTCTCCCAAGTTTGTTGCGCAGTGTCGGCTGCGCCCTCCCTGGAATTGAACATGTTTGTGAAAGCTTCGCGGACATCTTTCTGCTTGAGCGCCGTCTTGTCGTAACCGGAGGTCTGCTTGGTGGCTGCAGGCGAAACTTCAATTCCCAGTGACCATGATACCAAGTAGTGGTCTGTAGCTAGCGCTGCTCGTCGGTGGCTGCCGAACTCTTTGAATGATCCCAACCATCCAGGTTCACATAACACCAAGTCCAAGATATTATGAGATGCCGGTGTAATGGCAGCCAGTGGTAACACCCCAGCTTCCCGGAAAGTAACTTTCATGTCCAAGCTCTGATACATGAAGGTGTTTGTAATCACAAGGCCTGCGCCCACGCAGAACTCCAGTAGTAGTTCTTTGTTTGGTGATTTCAATTCGTGCACGGCTTCCCTCCCCCAGCCATGCTCGCCAACAGCGTCTTCTCCGGGTTGCGCCTGGCCAATGCGTGCATTGAAGTCTCCCTGAATGATTTTTCCCAGGTTCGCTCGGCATGCTCTGAATTATTTGTCCAATACGTGGTAAAAGCCCGCACGTTCAGGTAGAGGTTTCAGATTGTGTGGTGCGTATACACCGAATATGCCCATCGTTTTCCCGTGCAGTCGTAGTTTGAGTACGCACAGCCGTTCTGACACTTGCTTGTACGATGTAATGTGTCTGCGAACGTGCGGTGCGACTATGATCCCAACCCCTGCCCATGTGCGATCGTCTGTATTGTTACCAGAGAGAATGAATGTGTATTCGTCCTGTTGGTACACGTCGGCTTTAGAGAGCCTTGTTCCTTGAATACACAGCACACCAATGTTGTAGTACTGCATGTGTTTGATCAGCTCGATGCCCTTTATCTCTGTGAGGCCGCGGACATTCCAAGTAGCACACTTTAGGACAATTGGCAAAGAAGGTGAATAAGATGAGGTTGAAGAGGTATTGAACGGTGAAGCTTGCACTCGATCTTTGCCTGTCTGCTTGACGACTGGTCCGGTCTTGGTAGCTTTGCCCAGCTCCGCATGCCCAGTGCTTTTGCGATCATGCCCATAACGATGTTCAGATACCTGTTGGTGTACCTTCAACGACGACTGGGTGGTATCTTTGCCCAGCCCAGTTGGGGATGCATGTCTAGATAAAATGTCACCGTCGTTTAAGCTGTTCCCGGAAATGGTAGCTTTGCCCATGTCCAGGCTGCCACGTGGAGAGTTGGCATACTCAAATCTAGAAGAGAGGGAAATCGAAACATAGCCAGGCGGTTGCTTTATGGACTGCGGTGTTGCGGCATCGGTCCCCTGGCAAACCCAACCAGATGCCGCATGTATGTACTACTTGCTTGTCGTCCCTTTGGATTGCCCTTTCGCCTCGCCTTTCATTCCTGCCCGAGAACGGCGGACTAGGGAGTCGCATTTTTCCACCAATGTTTTCATTTTGGCGTGGTTTTGCAAATCATGCCAATTCTTCCAATCCTCCGCCCACTCCCGATGGACACCGCCGGGGCCCGCATGTACGGTAAGCGCCAATTGTCCTCCGACGTGTACCTGGTAGGGTGCATTGTCTGATACTTCAATGATGTACTCGCTCTGCATGTCGTCCTTGAGTAAATAGTTTTGCCCAAATGCGAAATTGCGGGCAGCTCTTTCAGAAGGCTCCCGATCTTGGCATGCCCATACTGTGGTATCACCTCGTTGTAAACGTGCGCTCCGAAAGAGTGCAACGGCCGTATCTCGTTCAAGCATGTCCCCAAATTCAAGAAATATGATGTTTCCAAACTCACCTTTCGAGTACATGTTAGTCGGGATTGGACCGTTCATCGACGACAGTTGCTCCCGGATGTATGCGAATGCGGAGTCCTCGGAGTCGAAGTCGTTCAGGTTACCGACGACAGCCGTGACTGCACGTTTCCCATGCGTGTGGTAAGTATTAGCCTTGTCTGCTGGCTTGTGCTGCTGTAGCGCCGCCAAAATCTGACGCTCCAAGTCTTCCAGTTTCGAATCAATGGCCGTGGTGTGTGATGCTCCCGAACGAGGCGTTTTTGTTGGACCAGCTAATGTTATTTCCAGTTTGCTCAATCGAGTTTCCACATCGTCTACCAATTCTTCCAAACGGTGTTCCATGTTTGTAACACGAATGCTGATATCTTCAATCTCGTTGTCTATTGAGTCCTTCAAATCGTCCACAGCTGTCTTTAATGGCGCCACAGCAAGCTGAAGGTAAGTTTGAGAAACTCCACGTGTTTTGATTAGTGCGATGTCTGTTTGAATCGGCTTGAGAAGCTTCTCGATGGCCTCCAGCGTGACTGGAGAGCTTGATGATGCTGCAGACGCTGCGGGAGTGACCCCGGCATCGTCTTCAGGTAGTGCTGCTGGTCCGGATGCCCCTTCAGCAACAGCTGCGCCAGGCGGTGCGTCGCCCATCCCATGAAGTGGACTTCGGAGGCGAGGCTCCACTCGGCGTTGATTCCCTGCTCTCGGTGGGGTGGTCATGGTGTGGACTTGCCTGAGCGCACTTTTTACTGGAGTCCCCATGTGCCCATGTGATGCTTTTCCGCCGGCATCTTCACGAAATTGGAGAGGTCCGATATTTGTCCGAATATGTGACAGACTGTAGGCTACTTAGGTGGTTGAAAATGTGTGGCCTCTGGTTTCAAACCTTGACCTGCAGCCTCGCTTGAGCCTTGACCTGCAAGTTCAGGATGGGATTATTGGTGTGAGTCTGACCCCTCCTTCTCATGTTTGTATTCTTTCCCGCTTCCTCCCACATCCCTTCCGTACTCAGGCTCACTCACATTCAGGCCGCAAATATTCAGTCTCACTTACACATACTCACCCATATTCAGACTTACTCAGACTAGATGCGCCGAGCCACTCATACTTCATACCTATCCGTGTTCAGTCCAGCGCATACTCATGTACCACGGGTCGAGTTCTCGCCAAGATCGGGAGGAAATCTACACCGAAACGCCCGCTGTGTAAGTAGACGTGCGTATTGCCAGGATCCCTTAGCCGCCGCCGTACAGTACAGCAGGCATGCCACTTGGGCCGCCGAAGAGGCTGTCGACCACGGGTGTTCACAGGCCCGTTCGCGCCCAGATAGTGGGGATGTCTCAGACGAAAGCCTTGTCTTGGCCTTGTAGACGGGTCTGCTCTCAGAGCTCTATGGTCGCCGCGATGTAGCTGACATTGCATTTGGGCCACCCAGTTGGCAGACGCCAGGATGTACGACACGGGCCCCTTCGCACCCAGATAGGAGGGGCCTCGCAGTTGCTCAACTTGTACGATCTCCTCAGACGCCCAGGCTCACTGATACCCTGGCCAGTTCACACTCCACCTCACCTCATACCGCAGATTGACAGAACCCATACCTTGCCAAGTCGATGCGCGTTTTGCCCTTCTGTCGGTCCTTGAGGGAATGCTGCGCCCGTAGCTTTGAGGGGCCTTGGCGCACCGGGCTTGGTCCCCGGTCGTTTTCATGAAAGGGTGTTTTGCTGAAGGGGAGTCCACCCGCGATCATAACCAGACACGCTTATATTCAGCCACGCGTGCTCAGGTTCCTCTTCGCCCATGCCGGTTCGCATCCAGGCGCTCGCACGCAGGACGGCTCATGTTCGGCCGCGCGTACTCGAATTCATTCACGCTCGAATGCTGAGGACCAGCGCCGCCAGATCAGGGATGTGCACATGGTGACCCCCGCGCCGAAAACATGGGATGTATCGGAGTGTATAGAGAATGTACCCACGTGGACATATACACGCACGCGCGCATACATGCACCATATGTTTATGCATACACTCGCTTGGACAAATCACATACATGTATCCACATCGAGATACATACATTCGCACATACATACATACATGCATACATACATACATACACACATACAGACATACATACATACAAACATACAAGCATACATACACATACACATACACAGACACAGACACAGACACAGACACAGACACATACACATACACATACACATACACATACACAAACATACGTACATACATACCTCTATGCGTATACACATGCATGCATACATACATAAACACACATGCATACACGTATCCATGCACACATTCATACATGCATACATGCAGACATGTATGCATGTATGCATACATACATGCGTACAGACAAACCCGCATCCATACGTACATACATACATGCATGCACGAATCCATACATACAGACATTCATACACACCTACATACATGAATGTCTACATGCGCACCGACATACAAACACACGAATACGCAGACCTACCTACACACATACATACACACATACTGACACACATACATGTACACGTACATGCATACATGCATACATGCATGCATGCATGTATGCATACATACATACGTACGCGCACACATAGTTACAGGCATACACACACATCCATGCATACACATACACATGCACACATACACACATACACACCTACACACATACGCATACATACCTATACGACCACCCTTCGGGTGATAAGGAGGTTCGGGGGGGGGAGGAACCAACGTCTCACTCGATCGGTCTCACGATCGATCTCACTATCGATCTCACTGACGGTCTCGCTGGAGCGATCTCACTCGATCGATCTCACAATCGATCTCACTCGATCGATTTCATTCGATCGATCTCACAATCGATCTGAGCATCGATCTCACAATCGATCTCACTATCGATCTCACTATCGATCTCAGGATCGATCTCACATTCGGTCTGACGATCGATCCCGCTATCGATATCACAACCGATATCATCATCAACGTCATCATCATCAACATCATCGTTATCAACGTCATCAACATCGTCATCAGCATCATCCGGACACCATCATCATCGCCTCATCGTCATCATCAGCAACATCATCATCACCATCATTATCATCATCGGGGCACCATCGTCGTCACCATCATCATCTTCATTATCATCATCGGGACACCATCAGCATCATCATCGGAACACCAGCATCATCAAAATCATTTCATCATCATGATCATGAACAATATTAGCAACATCATGATCATCGGGACACCAGCATCACCATCATTAGCAACATCAGCATCATCAACATCATCATCATTGGAACAACATCAACGTCACCATCATCATCATCATCATCATCACCATCACCATCATCATCATCCACATCATCGGGACACCATCATCACCATCAACATCAGCATCATCATCACCATCATTGGGCCACCCTCCTCAAAATCATCATCATCACCTCATCATCATCTGCATCATCAACATCATCATCATCATCAGCGGGACACCATGATCGTCATCATTATCATCATCATCATCATCATCATCATCATCATCGGGACACCATCATCATCACAATCATCATCAACAGCATCATTATCAACTTCATCACCATCATCATCATTATCGGGACACCATCATCATCATCAGCATCATTATCTTCATCATCATCGTCATCAAATCATCTGATCGCCATCGACATCATCAGGATCATCAACATCATCATCGGGGCACCATCAGCATCATCAGAAACACCATCATCATCAACCTCATCATCGGGGCACCATCATCATCACCACTATCACCATCATCATCATCATCAACATCGTCAACATCATCATCATCGGGACACCGACATCATCACCACCATGACCATCATCATCATCACCGTCACCGTCATCACCATCATGATCACCATCATGATCATCATCATCACCACCATCATCATCATCATCATCATCATCATCATCATTATCATCATCATCATCATCATCATCATCGGGACACCGGCTGGACACCGGCTGGACACCGGCGGGACACCGGCGGGACACCGCGCGCCACCGGCCCCCGAGCGGGACATCGGCGGCAAATGGGGGGCACCGGATGCCGGAAGGGAGATTTTCGGTCCGGCCGCGCCTCAGCTACAGGAGACTTATTTCTCGCACGCCCACGCAGCTTCGCCTCGCCCGCACGCACGGCACGCACGAACACGAAACAGAAACCGATTTCCCGGTAGGGGGGCTTTCCGTTCCATTTCGATCTCACCCCCACACTTCCGACATGCATACATACTGTATGCATGCATGTATGCATACATACAGACATGCATGCATACATACGGTATGCATGCATGCATACATGCAGACATGCATGCACACATACATATAGGTAGAGGGCGGACATCGAGAGACAGAAAGAGAGAGAGAGAGAGAGTGAGAGAGAGAGGAACCAAACGAATAGACAACGCCCGAGGCCTCTGCCCGCGCCCCCCCGCACCGAGAACACATAGCAAAGCAACGCCCGAGGCCTCTGCCCGCTCGCCCCCCCCCCCGCACTGGGAACGCACAACAACACAACGCCCGAGCCTACTCCTCCTCCTCCTCCGCCGCATCTGCCCGCGAGCGCCCCCGCACTGACAACACATAGCAACACCACGCCCGGGGCCTCTGCCCGACCGCGCGCGCCAACGCATTGAGAAAACAACAACAGTGCCCGAGGCCCCTGCCCGCGAGCGCTCCCCGCATTGAGGACACAAAAGGACACAACGCGCGAGGCCTATGCCCGCGCGCGTCCCCGCGCTGAGAACACACCAGACCACGCCCGAAGGAATCTGCGGCGGGGTCCAAACCTGTGCCCTCCCTCTCTCAGGAGAGAGGGGAGGGGGAGGAGGAGGGTGGAGGAGGGCGGGGGGGATGGAGGCGGTGGTGCTGTATTTTCGCGGGGCCCGCACTGCCCCCCGCGCGCCCCTGCGCTCGCGCCCCCCCGCCGCGCGCCCGCCCGCGCGCCGCTGGCGCCCAGCGCCCCGCGGCGCCACGCGGCGCCTCCGCCGCGGCCGCTGGCCCGAGCCGCCCTGCGGGGCGACGGCCTCCCCGAGGCCCCCCCTTCCCTCTCCGAGGGAGCCCGGGCCGCCCCGGCGGGGCCGAGGCCCTGCGCGCAAGAGCGGCCCTTCGCCGGAAGGACCTCTTAAAGCGACGCGAGGATCGGGGCAGAATCGGATCGTGACAGCTCGAAGTCTCTGAGGATCGGCGGGCTTGGAGGATGTATTGGGCGCCGCGGCCGCTCCAGAGCGTTCCGGAACGCTCTGAGAGCGCTACGGAGCGCTCTGGAGCGACTTATCCCGATCCTAGCCCTGTTTTACCTCTGGTGCGGGCCCACTGTCCGCCGACCGCTGAGCGCGATGCGACGGCATCGGCTGGCGCTCCTGGGTTCGGCCCCCCCCCCGGTGCCTCCCAAGGAGCGGCGCACGAGAGGTCACTCTTGCCTAGAGCCACTCTTGCGTGCAGCCGACGAGAGGCGGGACTTGCAGTTTTTCTGCACCGGGCCCAGGGGGAAGTTAGAGAGGCGCGCCCCAGGAGGGAGTTCGATGTTTTCTGCCGTCTTCGTCGGCCCCTGCAGGGTTTCCTGCCTCGTGGCGCTTTCCGGCAGCTGCGCCTCGCCGAGACCGTTCTGGTGGTGCCCAGTTCGCCCCAAAACGTCGCCGGAGACCCGGGCTGTGTCCCGAAGACAAAACTCGGCGGCGCGCCGAGGGGGGATGTGAGATGGGGCAGGCCTTCTCAAACGGCGGCAGGGCTCTCCAGCAGCCATCACGGCTTCTGTAGGCCGTCTGTGGCTTCGCAGAAGGTTTGTAAACCTTCTCAGCTCGCCGCCTCGTGAGAAGGCCTGCCCCCTCTCACTTCCCCCCTGGGCTCGCAGCCGAATCGTTTCATACCATGCGTTTTCGCCTGGTTTCGGACCTTTGGGCCATCACAGATCGATCCCGGGCTCGAGACATGCTACTGAAAGATGGGCTGCAGGGTTCCGGTTGTGATTTCTCGCTTTCGCAATATTGCACGCTTGTTTTCGCAGCGTCGAGTCTGATGGGAGCAGGGAGGGGTCAGAGGCTCGCGCCGTGTCCGCGGGGTGAGCCCGGCTCTCTTCGCTCCGGCGCTGCCAGCGCAACGCCGGTGCGCCTGCGATGCGGCGCTGCCCTCCGGCGCCAGTCGGCTGCACGTAGGAGTGGTCTTCGCCAGGGTGACCTTTGGCGCGGGCCCACAGTAGTTTCCCTGGGGCTTGCGCGCCTGGATTCGCCGCCCTTCCCCGCGCGGCCCCCCACAAGGCCGCGCGCCAGTGGGCACTCCTGCCTGGGCTCACCCCTGCGCGTAGCCGAGTCTCAGCGGGCGGAGAGGGGTATCGAACAGCACAGTCCTCCACATCGGGGACGCCTGTCCCAGTGCGGCTGGGAGGTCTGTGCCCCTACGGCAGCACGTGGGGATATAACTTGCCCAGCCGCCATCGTCAGCGGCGAGCAGGGTGAGAACTGAGCAGGGGCGGGCCTTTTCAGCAGGCTCGGAAGTCCCTGGGCCTTCTGAGAAGTTCCCTGAGCGATCCCCGCAGACAGCAAACCTCTTTCAGAAGGTCGGAGGCCTTCTGAGACGTTCCGCCGCCTTCTGAGAAGGCCTTCTCCTTCTCACTTCCCCCCCTCGCTCGCCGCCGACATTTGACAGGCGTCTCCGATCGCGGAAAAACATGAGATTGTGTTTTATCCTCCGGCGCGTAATGGCCGTTGCCCGCGCTACCCTCCCCACGGGGTAACGGTAACGATCGTACAAGGGGGGGGGGTACCACCCCTCACATGTTGGTGTTCGCGCGCATACGTAGTGCGATCGCAGCGCATCTTCGCCCCGACGTATCCCAGCCAGTCCACGCGTTACCGTCACCATTGGCCTGGCCCCAGCTCCGTCCCGTTCGGGTAACGACCGTGGCCAAAAATTATATGAAAAGCATCTTCATAAGGCGCGGGCGTTCTGTCAGTGGTGTGCTCAGGAGACTCCAGACCTTGAAGGGATTCTTATCTCATGGGGGCGGCGGTGATATCCATGCCCAATTCGCGATTGGAATTCCACCTGCTTCCAAATTTTGGACTCCTTATCCAATGGTCCCTTATCAAATACCCTCACCGGATTCCTACTTGCCTATATTGCCATGCGCTTGTTCAGTGGAGCAGTTGTCTGGCGAGAGATTATTATGCTTGCCCTGCGCCATATTTCAATAGCGCGCCGAAAGCATTGAGTGGTTAACCCAAGGCGCCGTCGCCAGAATAAAGGTCACCAGTGCTGGTAGTTCGCATCCAGGGCAATTTGAGGCGGCAGCGTCGTTAAATATTCGCATGCAGCAGCAAGGAACTTGACACGGTAGTAGACCGTTCCTCTCGATGATCCTCGGGACGTGTGTTAGTCAAATGTGTGTGTGTGTATGTGTGTGTGTGTGTGTTGGTTACCCCGCTCGGCTCCAGCGATCGCACGCAGCTTGTGTCAGCCCTCATTGCACCGCCCGCGTGACAAACACACCCTTGCAATAACACACGTTATGAGAAACATCGATCGTCGCCAGATAAGCTTTAAAAACGATGCCCGTGGTGGCACGAAGGGGGTGGGAAGGTTCTCTGTGATCTTGCCAAGCACCTTCAACAAACTACGTTGATGATCTGATCATATATTCCAGTCCCATCCTCCCAATGGGAAGCCGCCATGGGGTATATCACTCCCATATTTGCGCCGTGGCTCTCCACCGTCGTCTACGTGGATTCGACCTCGCACATACGCAGATGCTCACAAGCGGAGTCCCTCAGCGAGACTTGCCAGGAACATGAGATGCTCATATGGGGATCTCCGCGTCGAGTAATTGTCTTTCTGATTACCTAGACAAGCAACGTCTTGATTTTTCCAGCACGCTGTCCCCGCAAGTCCTGACCCTTTCCCCAGCCCGTTTTTCATCGTAAGTCGTCCTTGGAGGTCCCGGGGACGGGCAAGGGCTCCCAGAGGCCGAAGAGGGCCAAAAACCTCTTGTCGTGACTTTTATTTGGGAGCCCCCAAACCAGGTGGTGAGATATCAGTTGGTGACTTGGAATCCCCAAAATGCCACCGCCAGGTTTTGGGACACAGGGTCACCGCTGGGCTTTGTGACTCCTGGACCCACCAGCGTCCAGGGCATCCTCGAAACACCACTCGAGTCCCCAAACCGGGCGGTGACACCGGATCGCCTGAGATTAGATTCACCGCCAGGTGTTGTCACCACCATGTTTGGGGGCTACCAATGTTGGTCGCGACCACGCCTGGGAAGCACCATGTGCTCGGGCCCCATCTGGGGGGGCCCTCTCGAGGGCGACGCCCGATTCCTGCCCCCGCAGAGAGAGGCCCCCGCCTCCGCAGCGCTCCAGAGCGCCCCCTCCCGGGGCCCCCTGGGCCTCGTGAGGGGAGCGGTACTCTGGAGGCCGTGGGGGCCTTGGAAATGCTGGGGGCGCCTTGGGCCACCGAGCGCGTTCCTCTACTCTCGGGGGCCCCCAAACGGGGCGGTGACCACACCGTGCGGTGAGTCGGTGGGGATCCGGGGTCACCGCACGCTTTTGGGACTCGGGTCGTTCTCCGAGGACGTCTCGGGCGACAGGGGCCTCCGAGGTCCCAAGACCGTGCGGTGACGGACTGTGCGGTGAGGTCTTGGGGGACTTCGAGGTCACCGCACGGTCCGTCACCGCACCGTTTCGGGAATCCAAATGCTCGCAAAGTGCCGACTGGCAAGCGTCAGACACGCAGAAAAACAGGCCTTCCTCGGTAGCACGGAGCGCAGCTCCCCCCCGCGGCGGAGTCCGGCCATTTGCGAGCCGCTGTTTTGCGCGCCGCGGGGCGCGCTTGTCGACTGGGCCAGGGGCACCTGCCAGCACACCCCGCACGGACGGGGAGGTCCGCCGCCGGCCTCCACGGAGCAGCTCTCCAGAGCGCGCCCCCTTCTGCCTCCGCCCCTCGGCCGGCGGTCAGCGGCCGCGGGCTCCCTGCCGGGGGGCCCTCGGGCAGGGCGCTGCCAGAGGGCAGGAGCGGCCTGCAGTCCACACGGAGGAAGTCCACACAGCCAACCCGCAGAGCAAGGATGGGCAACTCTTCCAATGGTGCCCTTGCATCCTTGCCTCCTCGGTCCATCATTGGCCACTTCCGTTGGCCGCGCCCCGCTCGAAAAGCTTCGAAATGGGCGTCCAAGGCCCTTACATCCTCATCGTGCATCCTTATAATACGGGCCGGCTGTACGTAGCGCTCGGTCTCCATTGGGGCTTACTCCGTCTGGGCGCAGCCTCCCCTGATTGGAGGCCAAGTCCAGACGGAGGAAGTCCATGCGGAGTGTTCGGTCTACGCATGGACCTACGCCGACCGGACTTCGCCTCTCCGGATTGTCAGAGGTGTTCCTGGCCAAGGCCTTGGAGCCGGCTGGGGGTCTCAGTCGGCTCAGCATTGGTTCCTGTAAGCAGGGGGGGGGGGCGAGGTTCGAGCCGCTGGGCTCGGGAGGTGCTTTCGTTTTCGCTTTTCGGCGTCTGGCGGCCGCTTTCGGGCCCAACGGACCGTCAGAAACGGATCCTGACCAAAAACCTACACCAGATGGACCCCGGGAGGGGTCCAGGGACCAGTTTTGAGCGGATTAGGCCCCCCCCCTTCCTGACAGATTTTCTGCAGCCCCAACTGGTTAGGATCCCCTGGCCGCCTCCAATGAGGGTCCATGCCGATCCGATCGATCCGATTCGGTATCGACTCTGTCTGGCCCGAGCCGAATCGACTTCGATCTTCGGACAAGATGTGGCCCCATGCTTGCATGGCGCCGTCGCGCAACCTGGCGCGGCCAATCCGATTCGATGCCCACGTCGTGCCAAGACAGGCCGATCCGACGAGCATAATTATCGAGTCGATCCGAATTCCCGATTAGATGCTGGCTGATCCAGCTTGTCGCGCCATGTGGGGGGCCCTCGGTCTCGTGAGGGGTGCTCTGGAGACCCGTCGGGGAATCCTCGGGACATCTTGGGCCAGGGGCACTTCTCGTAACACCCGAGCAGGGAAGTGGAGAGACTTTTTGAGGGGCCCTCAATGCCAGACCGCCTCGCGTCGCGAAAGGAACAGCCCTGAAGCTTTGGAGCTACATTCAGCCTCCCGAAGCCCTCACCGTGCCACTGAAACTGTTCGGAACACATTTCAAGTGAAAATCTGTTCCCGGGGGAATGAGCCAGACAAGTAAGGGACCACATGATGGAAACATCGCGTCGTCAGGGATCTGTGATGAAGGGGCCTTGCCTGGAGGGTGGCCGTGTGGCATTCCGGGTGAGCCTTTAGGATTGGGCAGTCCTTCGTAGGTTGGAGTGCGAGCCAGACGGGGTCTTACGCGGCATGTCGGCATGTGTGCTTGGGTGAAGGGAGGGAAGCAGAGGATTCTTCCATGCTCGGTTTCTCTTACGGGGGATGGTGGGCGGGGCACATCTATTACGCGACAACAGATACATGGGCGTAGGGGCGCCACTCAAAATGCTCATATCGTCTTAGTTTCGCGCATTGCCGTCTTCAGAGCTCCCGGCAGCCGCGCGAACGGATGGGGCAGCCGGATTTTCAAGAGGTGGATCTCGCCTCGGCGCCGCGCGCAGCTGCCTTCAGATGCCCGCCACGGCAACGCAGATGGAGGACAGGTCCTTGCGAAAGCTGCGCATCGCTCGAGGAGTCCTGGGAGCTTCTGCGTGGCATCGAGTGCACCGTGCTCAAACAGCGGCACGGACGGACGGCGTCCCCCCGTTTCAGCGTGGGCTCGCTGTTGTTGCTGCTCGTGCGCCTCGGCCGCGGAGCGGCTCCCTCCCGAGCGTGGGGCTCTCGCTCGACGCGCCCTCGGGCGTGCCGCTGACCCTTCCTGGCAGCTGCAGGGACCGGGGCGGCGGCGCGGTCCATGTGGGGAGCTCGTCCTTCGAGGGGAGGGGCCCCCCGCAGGAACCACCTGCAGTGGCTTATGAGGAGTGGGGCTGGGACGGAAGGACGTGTGGCAGCACCGCTTGTACGTCCTTGGCCTTCTCGACCCCTCCAGGATAATACGCCTTTCTGCGTCTGGTCCGACGGCGTGATGCATGTATGTTGTGCCTCAGGCCAGCCCACGAAATCTCAGGAGGCATGCTTCTCAGAAAGTGGCCACCGGCTCAGTCGTCTGATGGGTGGAGGAGGAGGAGGAGGAAGTGGAGGAGGAGGAGGAGGATTAGTAGGCGGAGCAGAAGGACTACGAGGAGGAGGAAGAGGAGGAGGAGGAGGAGGAGGAGGAGGAGGAGGAGGAGGAGGAGGGGGAGGGGAGGAGGAGGAGGAGGAGGAGGGAGGAGGAGGAGGAGGAGGAGGAGGAGGAGGAGGAGGACCCCAGGTCGACGCCCGGGGGCAGGCCTCGGCATTGCAGTGGCGGCGGCGTCCGCGGGCGGAAGGCCAGCGGAAGGTAGCGCGAGAACCCGGAGACCAGGACACAGATAAACCAGGAACCGGCAAACCAAGGAAACGACATCTTTTCCCTCCCCGCCCACCAAACCACCCCAATCCAACTTGAAGGCCCCATCTCCAGTGGGGTGGTGTCGGGGAACATTGAACAAAAACCCGTGTTGAACCCGTACCCCCCAACCCGAAATGGGGGTCTTCGGGTTGGGTTGGGGTGGTCTGGTAGGTAGCAATTTTCTGCAATGTCAGCACCCGTGATTTTGTTGTTTGCTGCACTGCAGGATTCGGATTTGTGTCCGGGTTTAGGGGGTCTTGCAGGTTTTTACGAGGGCCTGTAATTATCCAGGGTTATTCTGGCAATGCTGGAGTGCAGTATTCTGTTCGTGCTGCCGTCTGGAGAAATTGGTTTCGAGGGATGTTGGGTGTCCGGGTCTAGCGTGTCCGGGTTCACGGGGCCATGTTCCAGTGTTTTCGGAGTCGGCCACGTGTTTCGATGGGCGTCTCGACAAGACAAGATCCCAAGAGTGCCCAGCTGGATCCAGGACCCTAATTAAAAAGATCGGATCCAGGAATCTGTTGTCTAGGCCTCGGTCCTAGATAGGTCCGAGTAGATGGCAATGGGGTCGGAGGATCGCGCCGCATCCCCGATGCATCGACGATGCGGCTCGATATAGATACCGTGTTTCCCCACAACGACGTCGCCGATGCATTGCCGACGCCGCCGATGCATCGCCGACGCATCGTCCATACATCGTCGATGCATTGGCGATGCGGCGCGACCCTGAGACCCCATCTACTCGGACAGCATCTAGGAGGCCTCCATTTTGATGATGAGTCCCGATGATTTGTTGAGGGGGGTGCACTGCGAGTCGAGGGGCAGCAGGAGCCGTCGAGCCGTTCACCGACGGAAAAAGGGGGGGCGGGAGGCGCACGCCTGGGAGGGGCATCTCGAGGATGGGGCCCGGCTCGCAGAACTCTGCGGGTAAGAGTTGTTTCCATATTCAGTGCGTCTTGGTCTTTCTTGGAGGGGGCGCCACGAGGCCGAGGCACACTGGATGGGGAGATAAACATCGAGCCTCCAGGGGCCATAATTTTATCCATATCCAGTGCGCTTCTGGTTTCTGGGGGAGGGAGCCCTCAGCTCCAAGCTGCAGTGGATATGGACACAAGCCTTGCCCACAAGCTGTCCACAGGCTGGGCTTCGGGGAAACGACAGTCACGGCATTTGTTCTCTGAGAGCTGGGGGGGGGGTCTTTCTTCAAGAGGGGAAAGACCACCCGGACCCGACCACAGACGTTTCCTGAGCGGCCTTGGGCGTTTACTAAACAGCCCTGCCCTGTTCGATTCCTTCCGTGAATGCGTTTACGAAACGGCTTCGCTTGCCGGGGTGCGTGTTACGGGGGTGGGTCTTCTGGCGTGCAGATCTGCCTTGCGGGTTCGGCTTCCACTCCAGAGAGGGGGGGGGGGCCTTCTCGCGTGCCAGCGGCGAGCGACGCCCGCGAGCGGATGGCGGCACGGTGCGCCGTCCTCGCGACGCTGGCCGCGGTGGCAGGCCCGACGGGGTGCTTGGCTGCAGGTCCGTGGGCGCATAGCAATACATTCAGAAAGGAAGCCACACCCAGGTCGAGACGACGACGACGACGACGACGACGACGACGACGACGACGACGACGACGACGACGACGACGACACCACCTCCTCCTTCTTCCCCTCCACCCAGATCGCCCACCTTCGCGCACGTCGCCGGAAGGGGGGGCGTGCGGAGCACCCCACACCCTGGTCGACGGGAGGGATGTCGACCAGGGTCTGCCAAGCGCACCGCAATGCTCTGCCAACTGGTTTTCGACAGTGGACTGCTGGGTTCAAGAGGGGCTCCCCCCCAGGTAGGAAGCGACTGGCAGGGGGAGCCCGCAGCCGTTACTGATCTGAGGGGTCGGACGGCCTGGGTTTAGAACTCACCGGAAAGATCACGTCAGCAGTGAACGTAGCAGCCAGCAGCCTCCTCACATCTATGTTTGCCTCGCGGCTTTATATCATTCGCCGCCTCTGTGATTCGGTACATGGTCCCCATTTGGCCCTCGTTTAGCTCTCTGTGTTGGGAGATCGGGCGCCGCGTGAAGTGCCAATGTGAATCGCGGGGGTGGGGCGCCGCTGCCTGTCGCGCGGGCGGGACATGGAATACCACACCAGTGTTCACATGTGCACATGGCCTTCCTCTCCCACCTCTCTCTTTCCCCTTGCTGCCCTGCCTGGTCCCGGTATTCGTGCGAGGCTGGCATGCGCAGCCTTCTGAGGCCCCCGAGATTGGACCGG